TTTTAAGTTTCCAGGTATTTTAGGGTAAATATCCATTCTAATTAAAATTTTAAACTACTTACTCAGAGAAATCCAAACGTTATTTGGATTCTGTGAGAGTTGATATGCACCCAGTCCAGCCAAACTCCCAAAGAAAAGGCCAGCAGCTAGCGATGGGACACTACCTGAGTAAGTAAGAGATAATGCATTCATTACAAGCTCAGAAATAAGCTTGCTCATCAGCTTATCCGTTTTGTAAACACCAACAATAACAAAAAAGATGGGCATTCATTGTTATAAATCAGATTAGAGATATTTTTTCTTTTAAGATATTAAGACTACGCTGATCTCCACCAAGAAACACATTCAAATACTCTTGCATAAGATACAAATAGCATTAGTATTTAATTCTTTAACAGCAAAGTTATTAATATATTTATGATGGAAAGAATAGTGAGAAAAGCAGAATTGTGTTTTACTTTATGCAAACTGAAGCATATTCTTTCAATACAGTAACATCAGAATTTCTCGAGAGGCAGTAAAGTAGATGGATTAAACAGTTAAGGGTTTAAGATCAGAAAAAGGATGCTTGAACTGAACCAGGCAGGACGGCATTCAGACAAATAAAAAGTTGCTAAAGAAGAGAGCGGAGTCGAGTAAGAGAGGTCATATCTCTTAAGTACACCTGAGATCTGATCCAAAGGTAACTGAAGAGTTTGGAAGAAGTTTCCTTGGACTTGCCTAGACTTTGGATCAAGTCCTCAGTATAAATGATAATCCTGAGCTACTAGAAGATAAAAGATGCCACATCCAAATTGCTGATTTACAGATTCCACCAAGTCATGAAGTGGCATGACCACTGTGAGTGGTGAATGCCCTCAATAAGGCTAATGGAGAATTCAGGACTTGCTTAATGCTACTGAGGGTGGTTCTTTACATATTCCATTTTTCAGGTCACCTTTAAAGGACTTGAGATTGCAAAGCTAAGCTGATAAAGATCTCCTCTCAATGTTACAGGAGGATCACATATTGCTACCAGAAAGTAATCATTCTTCAGTCATCGACAAGGCAGCTGCAACATTGCTTCAGATCCTGCTTTTGGTATAAAAAGCAAGAGATAAAGATGATAGAAAGCACCAGATATTCTTGTACATGTGCAAGGACAAGATGCACACTCTAGTAAGTGGCTGCTCTGAACAGAATACAGTTTAGCAACCAACATATGGTAGCTACAATTCTTTCCACAAGCCTGGGAGCTCACAAATGGCCAGCACATCCTCGAATTTTACCTCAAGGCATTGTTTAAACAGCTAGGACGCATACACTGACTAGGACAACCACACCACCTCTGGCTCAGGAAGCTCCTGAGTCTCAAAACACTGGGACCCAGAGAACTTACTAAATGAAGAGAGGAAATCAATCAATTGCTCTTTGCTTGCCCTGTTCTCTTATGCTTCCCAAGGCATGCACTGCTGACCACTGTCTGTGTGGGTAAATAGACCTGGTTGTAAAAGAACAGATCACCATCTTAGCTTTATGGGTCAAAGTTCAATTTTCTTTTGGTTTCTCCAAGTTATTAGTAGGGATATGACAGCTTTTTCCCTACAAGTCACCACACAAGTTCCTGTTCCCCTTTCAAAAATCTCGTGTCCTGGATTCCCTTGCCTCAGCATGACTATGTCCTCTCATCTGCAAACGCTGGATAAGAATGATACCTACCACTTCATAATGGCCTCAAATAAATGCAGATGCAATTAGTTACTTAAGTTCTCATTATTGTCCCTCCTGCCCTAAACTCCACTCACAGCCCAGAGGATAAAGCAAGCCAGTAGAAAGCAGACTGAAGTAGGCATTAGCATCTATGTAGTCAAATACACTGGTAAGAGTCTTAGTGACTTCAGCGATGCACCTTCATGTCACAAACACTAAGATGGCTTAGGGATTTTTTGAAGCTGAAAGAGAGACAGCAGGGATGAATCCACAGTTCTGTCCAGAGGCGAGGAAACTCAGAAAAAGGTCAGGAAATAAAAGCAGTAGGTCAGAGGGTAAGCTTATGATGCAGAGCCCAGAAAAGGAACAAGATTAAGGACTAATTTGCATTGTTCAGCGATACTTGGAGAAAGAATCCTTCTGAAAACTCTCTACAGTTTTACAGTATACTGTTACCATCAAACATGAAAATGAGAATAAATGTTTACAGAAAAAAAAACCCGGTGATTTATGTCATTTGAAGATACAGAACACTTATATTTAAAATAGCAGGGGACAAGCCTTTCTGAAGCAAACTTATGTCAGTTCCCTGAAAAAGCACAACGCAGAGGCAGGATACCAGCATCCACCAGAAAGCAGATTGTGGGCTTATCAGCCCAAACCACCAGCTCAACCCAAAAGGCACCACACCCCAACAGCAGCAAGTTATCAGCACATTTCACAAACTGCTAAACTTTACGTACCTGCTTTTGCATAGCCAATGAGCCCTCCCGATGCCACCAGGGCAGCGTAGCCAAAGCCGAGCCAGTCCACTGCCATGCTGAAAACTGGAAGAGAAATTGGGGTGAGGGCCGGTATCTCTTAATTTTTTAGGAAATAAAAAAAATAGCATTTTGCTGCGGGGGCCTTTTCCACGAGCAAGGCCTGCGTAAAGCCTAAGCCGTAAACCAAGTCCAAGAGATGAAACCCGATTTGTTGGGAATGCAGCCCCGGGGCTAGCAGGGCGGACTTTGGGATCAGCCCTTCCGCGGAGGGTACGCGGGCGGCGCTCACCTGCCGGGCGGCCCCGATCCACAGCACCCCGGGGCGGAGCA